GCTCACCTCTATTGCCGTTTGTATATGTTTGATCACCTGTTACTACCAATGTCAATGTTTATCTTGTTGTAAATGCCGAGTCATTAGCTAGAGTTCTCTCTGTTCCGACCGACACTGTATTTTATTTTGAATGTACTTTAATTATGTAACCCACTGAGTGTAATAAAAAAAAGATTAAAAAAACAAAAACATTTTGCACTCAGTGCCACTGTCATTGTGCCCTCTGTGCCACTGTCATCCTTACATCGTGCCCTCTGTGCCACTGTGTCATCATGCCGTCTGTGCCCTGAAACAAATGATTCATCATGCCATCATGCACTATGTGTCACTGTGGCATTTTGCGCTCAGTGCCACTGACATTTTGCGCACTGTGCCACTGTTATCGTGCCCTCTGTGCCACTGTGTCATCATGTCTTCTGTGCCACTGTGTCAGTGTGCCCTCTGTGCCACTGTGTCATCATGTCCTCTGTGCCACTCTGCCATTGTGCCCTCTGTGCCACTGTGTCATCATGTCCTCTGTGCCATTTTGTCATTGTGTCCTCTGTGCCACTGTGTCATCATTTCCTCTGTGCCACTCTGTCAGTGTGCCCTCTGTGCCACTGTGTCATCATGTCCTCTGTGCCATTTTGTCATTGTGCCCTCTGTGCCACTGTGTCATCATGCCCTCTGTGCCGCTCTGCCATTGTGCCCTCTGTGCCACTGTGTCATCATGCCCTCTGTGCCACTCTGCCATTGTGCCCTCTGTGCCACTCTGTCATTGTGCCCTCTGTGCCACAGTGTCATCATGTCCCCTGTGCCATTGTGCTATTGTGCGGTTAATATGACTGTGACTTTGAGCCCTCGGTGTCACCAAGTTGTTGTGCAGTGTCACCTTTTCATCTTATGCACTGTGTTACCATATCACAGTGTGCTGAACAGGTTAACAACTAACTTACTATTTCCTAGATGAATTAACATTTCCTTCGTGTCTTTGGGGTTGTTGTGGCTTTTTGAGTTGGTTAATCTAATTAATTTCGAAATTGTGCATCATTCTCGCCAAACAACTTACATAGTTTTTTTAATGAAATATAAATTCAACTTCACTAATAAAAGATATTTGACTGAGAATAGAGTGTGCTGCAGGCGCTAAAATATAATTGTCAGTTGGTTGCCACTTCCACTCAAAGCAAAGTAGCTCAGCAGGTGACAGTGACAGTATTGAGGAAACCAAAGGAGTTACAAACCCCAAGATGTGCATTTTATTATATCTCCTTTTTGCGCATGTTATTATATTTCCTTATTGTTAGGAAAATACTAAGTGGTATCCCGTAGCTGACAACCACATTGGGATCTGGTGACGGAAATAAATGAAACAGGGTCAGCTGGGAATAACAAGTAGGTGAGGAGCATGTTTGCAGAGGAACTACATTACTTGTTGATTTCGTTGTCACTGACCCCCGAGTACATAGGTCGTTTCTTTTGATATCCACCACTGGTTTGGCAGGACAAGACTCCATTGTCCACCCCACCCAACCCTACATCTCCTTTGCTGCCAAATATACATGGTGTATATGACTAATTGGGACAACAAATGACGAAAAAAAAAGACTTGTTGTTTTTCTCAGATTTTCATTACCGCCAAATAGCTGGAATATCGCTGAGTGCGGCGTAAAACTAAACTCACCCGCTCACTCACTCGCTTATATACAGGACGCTGTTGTCGTAAAGATCTGATTTTGCCGATTGCAAACATATATATTCACACCATTACCACACTCAAATATGGACCGGTCCATATTTACTAGGTTGACTTTCACAGAGTCACTTTAGTTCCGTGTTTGAAAAACGATTGCAAGACGGTAAAATAGTACGGCAGCAGTTTTGGCTAACCTGTTATCTGTCCGTTTTCCCCGACCTATCTGTATCGCAGCCTTAAATTAAGTCTGGCTTTTCCTTCGGTTTTCACCCTTCTACTTAGCCGGGGCTTCTTCAATTGAAAAAGTTTGTTTGCATTGTTATGGTGTGAAACCAACAAAGCCGTGTAATGTGATTAACAAATGAACTAAGTTAACAAATCAATAGAAAGATAATATCAGAACACAATACAGTTACAGTACGTATTCAAAGGTAATATAATACAAGAGCAGTGAAACACCAGAAATGGCCTTCACACATTGTACCCATGTTGACAATCAAACCCGGGCGTGACGAGCGAATGTTTTAACAACTAGACTATACGGGTGAAACGGTATACGGCAGTTTTAGTAGAACCGCGGTATTTTGCCTTCGGTTCGGTATACCGTGATGCAATCCAAAAAATCGGTATTTTCGGTTTTCGTATCGTTATTTTAATAACCTTTTTATACCTTTTCTAAAATGTCTAGAAATCGAATAATTTTGTCCAAATCTATGCGTTTCTTTTGTTTTCTGCATTATGATCATATCTCATACACCGAACCGAAACGGACCGAACCGAAGGCCTTGTACCGTACCGTGGTATGAGCGTACCGTTTCAGCCCTACTAAACTACCCCACCGACTCCTGGGTTTTGTTAACTTGGCAGAGCTGACTACTCGGCCATCACCTTAAAACAGAGAGAAGGCTGCTGAGTCCCTTGAAGTCTTTATTCGTAGCAGAGTCTGAAAATTACATATATAGAGAGATTATAATAATATACATGGTAGATACAGTAAATGACTAACAATTTAATGGAACATTAGCAACATAACAGTGGTATTGTTATTAAGACAAAAGTTGTACGATTAAGTTGGCAGGCTTTAAATGACGGGTTTGCGCGTTAATGAAAGTACCGTAAAACAATTACAAAGTAAATCGTGTATGATACTAGACAGGGATTTGTTATATCTTATTCTAGCTAACGTATATCATACAGGAACTGTTAACACTTACATTTACGGCATTCTAGCGTTACTGATGTATTTACATATATATATATTTTACATACTGTATTATTTCCACACCGTAAATGCTTAACCGACTGATAGACGTAGCACAGCCAATAATCGCATGAGACGGTATTTACGTGAGGTTACCCGAGGGTATTTACCACAATGTACACGTACCCATACTATGTGATTTAATGACTATCTATCACTTGGCATATCAACAGTTAATGTACAACTGAACTAATATACTAATATCTACATTTATAAACATACTATTTGCATCCATGTTGCCTTGTGGTATACTGAACTGTATAAACGCGAGGTTAAGACTATGAAAAGGTAGTACATATAAGTGGAGCGCATATGACACGATATAACTTCCAGACTTTAACTAGTACAATAATACAATCTTACGTTAAAACAGAGAGAAGGCTGCTGAGTCCTTTGAAGTCTTTATTCGTAGCAGAGTGAAGTGTCTGCTACTGGACTCAGTGTATATATAGGGAATCAAGCCTTCTGTGGGATTTCTGAGGTTACCTAATGTTGTAGCTGTAATCTAAAATCTGGTGTATCCATTGCAATTACTGCTATGTCATGGGGTGCACTGACCACTTAAAATCATTTATATCACTACGCAACTGACATAAGCTACTTACAATGACGTTGCACCCGGCCATGCACAGCATGTTAGGGCCTGAGGCATAACCCTAACAGAGGCAGCTTGACTGAGTTGCATAATTCAGTGTTACTGATTTGTGACGATCAGCTACGTAATAGCAAGTCGTTACTTTATCTTGAGAAATATATGAATGTTTCGCTGATTGTTAAATAAAATATTGATGTAAATACGCAACTTATTATTGAAATACAATCACCATAAGTTTGGATTAATTATAGTGATTAAAGACTATGACACATACATGGAAAATATATATCCCAAATCATTATGTTAAAAATCCCAATGTGTAAAATTTATAGAATTACTGGAAACAAATAAGTGTCTTGAAAAAAAGTAAGTATATTCTGTAATACCATCATCACAACAGTACAATCTTCCATGTAAACCATCCCGCCATCCTACGTATTCTTAGCTGTATATTTGTACCTCTAATGCCGAGTATCCCGGCCTCAGCGTAATACGCTTTTAGCAATATTCCAGCAATATCACGGCGGGGGACACCAGAAATTGCCTTCACACATTTTACCAATGTGGGGAATCGAACCCGGGTCTTCGGATGCTCTGTTTTGACACACTACATGTGTAGGTCAATGCCGCTGACGATAGCCGAGTATATAGTTTTTGCTTGTTTGTTGTTTAACACCAAACTCGACAATTTACCAGCAATATGACGGCAGTCTGTAAATTATCAAACCGACCAGACAATCCAGTGATTGACATCATGATCATCGAACTGAGCGAATGTAATAATCATGACATCCCGCATCAACCAAGTCGGACCACCCGATCCCGTTTGGTCTGCTCAAGATCGATTCGAAGCCGGATCTTCACGGATAGTTGATTTGTATCAACACATTTACCGATAAAAGACACGTATTATATATATATTTGTTCAGGCAACTTAGTTTCGGGGTCTGTGGTAGTCTGTCTTACAGTGACCGAACCACATTCTTTTCGCAACTGCCTAGAATTCCCTGCAAAGCTAAAGCCCTAAATGAAGAAGTCCCGATTTCCTCAGGTTGCTGAATCTCCCATCTTACTGGGGTTCCTTTTCAATTTAAATGGGACTATTTGTTACTGTCAAAATTATAAACAATAGTCAGACACTAAGCGTTAGTCTAGGTCTATACATGTAGGTCAGTAAGTTATCTATTGAATCTAGACCTCTCTCTGTAAATAAGTCAGACCACAGACATACTAATAGGGTTACATTTATCAAGAATAATAATATTTATAAGTGATGTATACACGTTAATGTTTGAAACATATTGTTCGTGTATCATGATCATGAATGTATATATGTACATACGAGGCGCTTTTCGCACCACCTTGTACAACTGTACAACTGTACATGGATAGGGTGAAAACTCGTCAGCTCTGTTGTACCTAAATCAGCTTGCAATGTGTTCAGTGAGAATACAAGTAAAATATCTCTATCAGCGGACAGCGAGGGGCAGGGATTTATTTTAAGCTAAATATGTACAGAAACTTACATATTACAGAGACACCATACCCTGACACTTTAACTAATGAATAATACAGAGTTCTTTTAACAGCAAAATAACCAAAACATCCTCCATGAAAATATAGTCTTTTCTGTTTCTTTGTCGCCTGAGGTTGGCTATACTGGCACAATAATTGCGATAAGGTGTGGTTTAATTGAGAGTTGTCTTTCTTGATGAGGGCGGCGTTGGCATCTACTGTTTAGGATAACAACTCCTGAAGTTTCAACTAGCCCGTTGATTTTCATATCACGAAGTCTAACTCTACCACTATGGTCAATGATGGTGGATCTCAGGTCAAGCCTTCAATATTCGGTGTTGAAAGTCAATAGAAACATCTTGGGACAGCGCTCTCATCACTTAATCTAATTTACTTTTGCTTCCTTTTCGACACCTGCAACATCTGCGACACATCCAGATACCAAACCATATTACAAAAATCATTATTGCCAAAAGAGCCAACCAAACATCAGCATAAACATAGCTAATGAAATTAAAGTCTACGGATGGGGGCCGCAGGTGATCGCCGCCATATTTGATCACGTGTTCCAGAGCAGACGCGCCTCGTTGCGCTGGAGTTTCCGGTCTGTCTCGTAGTATACTTGAGATCTTCTTCATATTGAAAGAAATGCTTTCATTTCCGAGGACGTTATTTATCTTCTCAACAATTTCATCAACGGTGTCGTCGTAGATGTTGATGGATGAGCCGATACCATACTTTCTCACTTTCACAGCGGTGGTGCCAGTTTCTGCGTGGATTGGCATACAGATGATAGGAACTCCATGATACACACCCTCCCAGAATCCGTTCTTGCCACAATGGGAAATAAACAGCTTGGTGTTGGGATGACCTAGGATATCATTTTGGGGCAACCATTTCACTGTTTTAATGTTCCCGCGGATTTCCTCTCTATCCTGTTTGAACAAAACCTGGTACTTCAGTCGACCAAAGGCAGCCATTAATTTTTCAATCAGTGACGACGGAAACCCTTTCAACATACTTCCAAAGGAAACAAGAACAACACCATCAGTTCGATCATCTAAGAATTTCTTCAGGTCTCCTGGAAGGGGATCTGAAAAACTTGCAGTGAGACCCCCAACCTGCACAAAATTTGGAAAGATAGCTTTTGGGTAGTCAATAATGTAGTCTGAGTTTTCAAGAAAGAGAATCGAATCCTTCACCAGATCTCTTGAATCGAGGCCTCGTAGTGTTTCATTGTACCGGGACAGATCAACACTAGGAATCATGAAATATCTCATGACAGGATTTAAGAAGAAGGCAAGGGTATTTGTGAATCTTTGCAGGAAAGTCATATCGTTGGAAAATTCCGAGTACAAACTCGGAAACGTGTTTGTCTGAAGAGGCATCCGACTGTCCTGTGGATCAATGAAAGATCCTTGGGCGGCGGCGGGTATCCCAAGGGCCAAGGGAAAAGCAAAGAGACATCCAGAGAACAAAATGCCATCAACTATGGCAATGTCATACCCGTCTCTCTGCAACTCCTGAAATGCGGTCTTGTCGTAAAATGCGGCATCGCATATGTTGCGAATAAAGGGAGGTGCCAAACGCAGCAGGAACCACACCAGATTTGTCCTGTTATATATATATTCAGAACCAGAGGCCAATACATCATCGTTCTTCTTCTGGAATGATGGGTCAAGATTAGGAATAACAATCTTAAATTTTGGTTTGAATAAATCCGCTTTCATCCTCGAAATGCAGTTCTTTGGGTCGTACAGTAGAACGTACAATGTTACATGGTGGCCTCTCTCAAGGAGTTCCCTACCTATAGACATCATCTCCAGACAATGACTTGTGGCTGACCATGGCATTAGTAAAATCTTGGCTCCATCAATACTGTAGAACACTCCTAGAAGCACAATCACACGGAGAATCGACATTCCTACTTCACTGTCAAATGCTGGTTCCTGCAAAATAGTGACGAAATGTACACATTTTGATTCAAATACATAAGGTATCGTTTTACACATATATTTACAATTTATTGTCTCACATCGGTCAAAGCTATATTTGAGTATTTCCAGAACACAATATTTCAAAAACAAGTAGGAATTAATTGAAACTTTCAATATACAATAATGATTTCTATTTCAAATTTTAGAAACAAAAATGAATATGTTATAAGATTCAGTATGACCAGCTGTAAGTAAAACCGTTATAACTAAAATCTATCTTTGCTGGGAAAAACATTCGTTTTTTTCTTATTTACTGCTAACTGCCATCTATTAACACCAGTAACCAAGTACGGTAAGCCAGAGACAATATATTGGTATATGGTTTCTGGGGAAGCATAGATTGTAGCGAATTAGAGCAATATCATCTGCATACATTTCAATATATACTAGGCACATAAAGAAACTGTGCATACAAAAATGTAAAATCTAAATTTATCAAACCTGTGTAGACACATAAGGATTTAAACTCAGAGATTAGAGATATGTATCCAACATGCATGCACGTGCCACGTTCCGTGACGTCAATGGGTTCCTCCTTGAGACGTGCAATACGTTGTTGCACGTGCGTTCTGGGAAAGAGAAACAGAGCAAATGAATGCCACACAATACTGTCACTTTGGAAAGGTCAACCCCTGCCCTTGCGATCGTTCAAAAAATTAAACGGCTATTGAAACGCATAGCATGCAAAGGCTCACGTCTGCACAACGTCATGAGGCCATTGGGATGGTCCGTGGGGGAATGTCTCCACGACAAGTGGCTGCACATTTCCACTGCCACCGGAACACCATTTCTGCACTGGTGAGACGCTACCAGAACACAAATGACGTCATAGATCGGCCACGTTCTGGACGTCCACGTGTAACAACGCCAAGACAGGACATATGGATTAGGGTGACCCATCTTCGCCACAGGTTTCAGACTGCAGTGATGACTGCCCGAACCATCCCAGGACTTCGCCGTATCCACACCAACACAGTTCGACAACGTTTACGTCATCACGGGATCAGACCACGACGTCCCGCCATACGGCCTATCCTGACACAACGTCATCGACAAGCTCGCCGAATGTGGTGCCGAAATCATGTCCGCAGACCCTTGTTTTGGTGGAGAAATGTTGTTTTACAGATGAGTCCAGGTTTAACATTTCCCATAGTGATGGACGTCAACGTGCCTATAGACGCGTTGGAGAACGTTATGCACAGGCCTGTGTCTTGGAGAGGAATCGCTTTGGTGGTGGTTCCGTGATGATTTGGGGTGGAGTTACAGCACGCCAAAGAACTCCTTTGGTGATTGTTCAGGGCAACTTAACTGGTGTGGGCTACAGGGATCAGATTCTTCGACCTGTGGCAATTCCTTTTCTGCAACGTCATGGCCCTGGGTTAACATTCCAACAGGACAATGCCCGCCCACATACGGCAAGGGTTGCCATGGATTTCTTGCAACACCACAACGTTGACTTACTGCCTTGGCCTGCAAATTCACCGGATCTCTCCCCGATAGAGCATGTTTGGGACGAGATGGATCAACGTCTACGCCGTCTTCCTCATCCGCCAGATAACGTCCTTGACCTTGCAACAGAACTTGAGAGAATCTGGCGTGACATCCCACAAGCCTTCCTTGCACGTTTGGTAGGCTCTATGCGTCGTCGATGCACTGCTGTTCTCAATGCCGATGTTGGACATACCCGTTATTGAGCTTGTGACATGGTCGTTTGACCCCTGTCCCGCTTGTGGACTCGTGACGTCATTGTGATTGACTTTTCAATTGAAATTCTCCCGACTTGTTATGGTTTCATGATCCCTCCATTAAAGTTTATATGTACCTTTGACATTGTTATCGTACTTATCAACTGGGATAATATTTTGACAATGCACAGTTTCTTTATATGGCTAGTATATATATTAGAGCCATCAACATGTACACCACACTTCGGATTATTACTACCTTCAGACAGAGTTTACTCAGTAAGGGGCCACCGGCCCATTACACACATGCATATGAGAAAGTTAAGATATGACATCAAGCACCATAAAAGTGACGGAATGGATGCAGAGTGAGTGAGTGAGTTTAGTTTTACGCCCACTCAGCAATATTCCACCTATATGACGGCGGTCTGTAAATAATCTGGACCAGACAATTCAGTGATCAACAGTATGAGCATCGATCTATGCAATTGGGAACCGAAGACGTGCGTCAAAATAAGTCAGCGAGCCTTACCACCCGATCCCGTTACTCGCCTCTTACGACAAGCATGGGTTACTGAAAATCAATATGCTAACACGGACCTTCACGGGTGAATGGATACAGAGATGTGAACACAAGATCAGCATGATGCAAAATACTCCATACGGTTTTTCATAGCTAGGAATATATATTTAGTAAGGTTGTTGATAACAATATCATTTTGAGAAGTAAACAGTAGGACTAACTTGTTTTCAGAAGGATATACACAATAAAAATGCTTCAGACAAATCATTAGCGTACACAGAAAAAAATAAAGGTGACACTTATTATTTTCACCCCTGCCTTACATAAAATTCATGTTAAAATGCTTCGTGACACAGATGATAACTCCAACTGTACAGTTAACATATACATACTGTATTGCAGTTAACATACACCAGTAGTACATAATTTGTACCACTATAACAGCCTCTATTGACAGTAACAAATGCATTTAAGGTCGACACATGCAACCAAAGTAGACAGTTTGTTTATTTCTCTATTTTGTACTGACGATGTTAATACATATAAATGATCGAAGCAGACTGACTTTGTTAATCTGCTAATTCGTTCTTTTCCAGCCACTCTGTCAGCCGTGTATTCAAAGTATCATCATATTCTTTACAAGATACTGAATTTATAGTGACAACCCTACATTCTGGAGGGTTTCGAATATAAATAGGCAACTATTGCTCTGACTAACCACCTTTCACTACTCCTGGTGCAAGCTGTCCGACAACTGGGAAGTTACATTATCACCCTGTCACAACACAGTATAGTGTGTCTAATATTTCGCGTCGTATTTAGTTCATCACACACATCATAGAGATATTTCTTATAGATATCACAAGCACAATTACAGTGTGTTTTACTAGAGAATGTCTCAATAAATTGCGAAATATATCAGTTTAGAAAGGTAGTTAATACATATTACGAGGCAAGGTGTTCATGAATAACCTATACACAAACACCTTTTAGAAATTGTCATGCATCACAGAAAAAAAACCACTGTCTCTCTTCTGTATTATATGTTTCAATGCCCGTCTAGAAACTCCCAATGCCTTGGAAACACTTTTCTTATACCTATCCATGGCATAAAACGGCCTCCCCCTTTCCGCCTCTCCTCGAAAGAAATCATACACATTAATTATCAACTTTTTTGTCTGTACATTAGACTTCATTTCGTCCTCAGGACACAACAGTTATCACGAAATGCCCGTGCATCAGATGCACCTGCCTATTCCCGTCGCTGCCGTGTACCCCTCCGTGCCAGCTGTCAACAATCATGTTTATAATGATGATAGTTTGTTAAACAACCTTTTCTGTGATGCATGACAACTGAGTGCTGAACGGTGTTTGGGTATAGGTTATTCATGAACATCTTGCCTCGTAATGTTTATTAACTACCTCTCTCAACTGATATATTTAGCAAATCATGGGGACACTTTCGAGTCAAACAGACTTTAATAAAAGTATATTCGTTTCGTAAAACGTAATACTATTGTTCCGACACATGCCATAATGCCCTCAAACAATTCATTATCCTGAAAATCAATTTTCTATCCAGTCTTGAAGAATAAGTTTCCGGTACTACGAAATAATGACGATGAACATATTGCATACCTCTAATACCGGTCAAAGGAACCACCCCTCCCTACCCACACCTTCGACGGAGTACTCGGTCACTGAAGGGCAATACAAATCGAACGGGGAAATGAGAAGTCATTTTCGTTGTCATGAGCCCCTACGACCCGCTGCAGAACTGTACGTATCAGATCATCTACGACTGACGGACCTGGTAGGGACAACACACAAGAGGGACCCGACAACGCGGGGGAGGGAACTCCGGCTTGTGCTTTCGAACTCACGGTTGCACAGGTATTTAACCTACTAATCCTTATATGCAATCATAACTGTCAGTGTACTTAGACTTCGTGTTATATGGGTAGAATTAATACACACACACGGACTTGCCATTCAGTGCAGCCAGTATGCGGCACCACGCAAACATTTACGTGAAAAAGAAGTGGGACGTTATACAAACGAAAGAGCACGAATACAAACATGTACACGCACGCAGGCACGCACACACTCGTGAACGCACGTAAACCTGTCCACTCTCGCGTGCGTGTTTTTGTGTTTTTTTACGCGAGTCTCGCGTTCTTTTAATGAAAATCACCTTTTTACGGCTTGCATACTAAATAGGGCTTTCTAAATATCGCTATATAGTATTTTCACCTCGTTGCATATCTCTTAAGAATACCGGTCAAAGGAACCACCCCTCTCTACCCACACTGAACATCTCTAATACCGTTCAAAGGAACCACCCCTCTCGACCCACATATCCGATGGAGTGCACTGTCATTGAAGGGCAATACAAATCAAATGAGAAGAGTCATTTTCGTTGTCATGAGCCCCTAAGACCCGCTGCAGAACTATACGTATCAGATTATCTACGACTGACGTACCAGGTAAGGACAACGCACACGGCTCTAGCTTCTCGTCAGTGAAGCAGGCGAGGGACCGCAGGACCGACAACGCAGGGGAGGGAACTCTGCTTGTGCTTTCGAAATCACGGTTGCGCCCTGTTAAGACTTGCACAGGTCTTGAACTAGACTAACAACTAGTCTCTGAAATAAACACATTTTTCAGTAAAATACAATTCATAATAAAAAAAATATATATAATGAAAAGGAGCCCTGAGACGTTCTTCATTTTCAGAAACTGAAACTGGAAATCTACACTTGTCACATAAACTAGACTTTTATGGGCTTTCTTGGATATGTTGGTTTCAGGGTCTGTATGACAGACTAGTCTTTAACGGTCTAATCCTTAGTTGCAATCATAATGTCATGATTTTATACATAATAAACGCGTTGTCCTTATAAAGTGTCACCACAAAAGGCTCTTGTCAGCGTACTTAGACTAAGTGTTATATGGACAGATATAGTACCCATCCACGGACTTGCTATTAATTGCAGCCAGGGAGCAAGGCAACTATCTGATGACAGTATACGTCAACACGCAAACATTTACGTGAAAAATAAGTGAAAGAGCCTGGAGCCTGCACCAGAAACTCCTGTGATAGAAATCATGAGCATCGATCAGCGCAGTTGGTCCCGTTACGACAAGCATGGGTTGCTGAAGACCAATTCTAACCTAGATCTCTCGAAAATGTCGAGCGCAAACTGCGAAACCGGTGAAAGCTTAAAGGATTTTTAAAAAAGGTTAAACACTATGCATTTTTATTACATAATGCCATTCAAACATGAATATATACCACATCTGCACCATCCATTTACGAAAAATAGTCGTAAATTTTTTAAATATGCACCGAAAACTAAAACCACTTTAGCCCCGCCCACTCGTATGGATATTTTTATTTTTGTGGGTGTGACGTAATACCAGAGAGTCCGCTCAGTGTGTTGACACTTTGAACAGTAGTGTATACGCCATCGAGTTGAAAGTGACACAAAGCGCAATATTTTGAATGAAGCATTGTTGTGATTATGTATTGGAAACTGACAACTGCACTTGAGTTTTGATGATTATCCAACTGCGTAAACAACACGGGTACTTTTCCTGAGAAATTCTATTTATTATATGATATTTTTATATGATATTTATATAGCGCACATATCCAGGCGACTAGTGCTTGCTCAATGGGGCTGGTATCATGGCAGCTGTATATATAGGTAACTTTTAACCCACTTTCAAAAATGGGAAATCAGGGAAATATGTTCATTCAGATAATGTATTTCTTTGTGGGTTTTGTTTTTGGCAAATGTGAAAATGCCTCTTTAATGCTATTTTTTAGGATGTACATGGCAGCATTTCACATCAATGAAAACAGCCTAAATACCCTAGAAGTGACCAAGACGGGAGAACCAAAGAGGGCAAACCATTAACCCCTAGGGCTAAACAAAGAGGCCAAGCCAGTGAACAAGAGACCAACACGTGGTAAATATAATTCAGACAATCAATAATTATTTGAACTGGTGCACTCTACTGCATGTGTTTCCCTAACTAATGAGTCAACAATAAGTCTTAATAATAATAATAATAAGTCATCTTCTATAGCGCACGGTCTCCAAATACCAAGTGATTGCTCGCGGCGCTTAATCTGAATCTGATTCTTATTACCCCGGATAACCAAAGCTGCCTGTTAGGCGCTAGAAGGTTATAGTCACAAGACTTTATCCCACCGGGTACCCATTTTTCTGCTGGGTGAACAGAGGCAATTTGAACAAACTCACTTGCCTAAGGTGAGACCACATGCATCACATGTGCTTCGTTGTGGGGCAGGACTGAAGTCCTAAAAAAAAACTCTCAGGAGTCAGGCTGTCAAACACGGTCACCCATCCAAGTATTGTCCGAGCTCGACGTTGCTTAACTTCAACTGATTTGTGACCTGAGCTGTGTGCACAGGACCACGAGCCACCACAGTTGTATGCAAAGACACTGGTTTTCAATCCTCATATCTATTTTCCCTCTCAGCATTTGTTAAGACAAAAGTACTTACATTTTTAGTGCAGATTCAAAGAAAATTAGTATGGTTACCAAAACAAAATATACTGAAATTGTGTTACATAATGTCTCTAATTCAATGTAAAATTTATTCACAGAGTATGTGGAATTCCTACTCAGGGCCATTCTCGAGAGAAGAAACATGTTTCCTTCCTACAGACTTGCAGGACACAACAGCCTATTTTTCCAGGGTATTCTGCCAGACACTTTCATTTTTAACTAGTAAACAGGAACTGGTGAATTCAATGACATCAAGATATAAAATGAAATCATGTATATGTGTCTAGGGTTTTGAACTGAAACCAGTTGTCCCTGATGTCTTAAGGTCTATTGTATTCGCCTGTTTGAATCCTGGGACTTGTTCAGATGGTAAATGTTTCCAAATTGCAGTCACCACTGTGTCACATGGTCTTATTGGAGAGCATTCTTGTTTTCTTAGGCTTTTACCAGTCCATCCAGTTAATTTACACGCAAGCCTTTGCCTTCATGATGTTGGTGTACACACTATTCATTATTTTGTCATAAACAGTTTGTATGCAAATAGATTTTTTGCTTTAATAGATTTTTTGTGTGCTGGTTTCTTGATTTGATTGCTGGTCTTTCTTTGGGACTGATCACACTTTACACATTACTACTACAACACAATGAAGAATTTTCTTTTTCACTAGCAGACAGTTAAAGAGAAAGATAAGGATTTGTCAGTTCTATTTTTGCATCTATATTTATTTATTATATATATTATCAGCTCTTAAGGAACCTCGAACGTAACTATTTCAGTGTTTACCTTCCCATACCGATGTATACCGGAAGACAGGCTCAACACATTGATCGAACATTGCTGTTATCATGACTGCAAAGTTTACCGTGACCGCGGAAAAATTATTCAGTATCTAATCGGTTTTCCATGAACACGTGACAGACAAGTGACTTGCATACCAGTTTGCAGTAGGTCTATTAAAAACATAGTCGGGATCGGGATCGTCCCACGGCTGTATGTCGTCAACTGGTGGGGTGGAATCGTCGTCAATATTCCTGTCGTCCTGCCGCTCGACTGACTGACTGGCTGAGTTTGGTTTTACGCCGCTTTCAGCAATATTCAAGCAATATCAGGGCGGGGGACACCAGAAATGGTCTTCACTCATTGTACCCATGTGGGGATTCGAACCCGGGTCTTCGGCGTGACGAGCCAACGCTTTAACCACTAGGCTACCCCACCGCCCCCTTGCCGCTGGAAATACTTTCAAATTGAAAAGGTTGTATGTATGTGATATTATCTGTATCTAGTATGCCATCCAAATCCAGGTTTGACTTCGTGGATTAATTTATTTGCTAAACTAGAAGCAGACCTCAGTAAGCGAACAGCCTCGGTACCACTGCATTTACCGTGTGTTGTTGTAGCGACTCTCGGGTATGACGTCACACGACCACGTGACCATCTGCCTCATTATCTTGCATAATCGCGAAATGCTTTCGAGGGAGGTGCGTTTTAGATTCCTAATACAAGCTGTATAATTAAATATTACCGTTTTTAACTGTATTTTGTGAATATTATATATACCCAGGGGTTCATTAAGAGCGAAAATAAACAATGTGAAGTGACCTTTTAAAACCCCCTTTAAATTACAGTAAGTACACAAAACTAAATAGTTGTGACGTCACGAACAGGTGAAAGATCGGTAACATGTAATATAAAACAGCCTAACATCCTGACAAGGCCAGGTTACATCCTCTTTGTTATCAATAACAATAATACAGATCATATTTTAGCTGTAAAATCAAGCTTATTCGTTTTCTCAAATCTCCACAATGTATTTTACCATAAACTCTACATTATCCCTTTCATCACCATCCTCGATAATCTCCAGGGCATACATTACGATAACTCTCCACTACACCCTGGACGCATCTACGGCTTGGCCCGATGATTTTATTACCTCGCTTGGCGACTCCGCATTCTCACAGTAGCCAATCAGCTAAGCTGCCGTTACAACCGAACTTGCAGTGTCAACAAAGAAAGCGGTTGCAGCCGCGAAGGTTTGTTCACAGTGCGACTTAGATTTTTGGGGAAATCATACAGACAAATTTACAGGACTGAAACTTTAAAAAAATATATTCAAGAACACCCTCAACTTCTTTCAGAGTACCTCTGCATCAACTAAGTTGCGTAGTTTAATCAGTTAGATTTTAAGAACCGAACGTCAGTTGTGATTGGTCCGCTCAACTTCCCAGCGTAGACACCTGATTGGATAAGAAGCCAGCCAAGGGAGGTAATAAATTCGTCGGGCCAAGCCGTAGATGTGTCCAGGGTATAGTGGAGAGTTATCGTAACGTATACCCTGGAGATTATCTAGGATGTTTCATCACTTGCCATACGTTTAGTAAATCATCATATTAACACATACATTACCTCGAGTCACTGTTCCACACGAGCTTTCTGTGTACCACAATATTACTATCCCCGTCAGTTTAACCAAGGCGAACACCGTGTGCGAGGGAGCTGTACGTACTGTGGCTGAAAACTAAACAATCTGAACGTTCGCCTCTGCTCACAGGTTATCTTGATTTGTGTAACAGCTTCTGGCGTAGCTATGTATACATATTATGGGGCCCATGTGTCGTTACAACGACCCTGCTCCTGGGATAAAGACACAAAGTTCTGTGGCAACCCTAATCTGTCTCACAGTCCCTGAACCACATTATTTCCATTACTGCCTAGCCCTCCCTCCAATACTAAAGCCCTAAATGAAGCAAGTCCAAATTTTCCCATGTTGAAGAATCTCCTAATTCACTGGGGCTTCTTTTCAATTGAAATGGGTTTATTTGTTACTATCAAAATTATATATATTCAAAGACGCCTCAGGCGTTAGTCTACGGCAACCTGTACACCCGTCCTCAAGTGGGTTAAATGCCTGTCCTTGCGCCTGAGTTTCCACACAGATGAGGTTCTATTTGCAGCTGTTTATTTAGACTATTAAGTAAAATTATGACTTATTCTTCCTTTTTATCGCAGTTAGTTGTTTCATGTTAGTTATCAATATTTAATATTTGAACTCTATAACTTATCTGTTGCTTAGGACACAGTAATATGTAGCAAACATTATCCCGATTCGAACCTGCAAAAAGGTTCAATGGATCAGACCGCAAATGCTTGTTCTCCAAGTGATCCTCAAGAGTTATATCCCTTAGACTAGTCTGCTGTGGCTATCGATTATTTTTCGCAGACAAGCGAGCAGTTTCGAGTCAATATGTTCCCCCCATCACCCCGATCAATGGCAGCGACCCGGTACAGTGATTGTGTTCAGATTACCGCTGGAGTTTGCCAACGAAAAAATAAATGTGAAAATAATGATAAAACACATCCTTTATGTTCACATCGTCTACCGCACACCTCGCGCTGAATTCTTTAACTGCTAAAAAGTGAGACAAAGTTAGTCACGGATTGTTTGTATGTGCAATTGCCATGCTAGTGAAATCAGTGAAGCGTTACTCTGGCAGTCGGGCTCACCTCGCGGCACTGCAGGGAGCCCCGTTGATCACTTCTTTCTGAACTTCCAGAACTGTGGCCGCTTGACTCTATGACTATGATACTCACGCCGTTGTTCGGTCGGTGCTCATGCTATCGAACACTGGTTTATTTGACCCAGCCAGTGCCATGTTTAGCTGACATGTTGATTACGAATTACGGTTTGTTTGTTGTTATACCCAGCATTCCAGTTATATGACGACTGTCAAAAATCATCTAGTCTGGACCTGACAATCTGGACCTGACAATCCATGCAGTAGTTGAAATCGTGAGCATGCGCCTACGTATTTGGGATTGATGACGTCATGCATTAGTGACGTCAGCGAGCCTCACTTCCCGATCCCTTTAGTCGCCTTGTTCGACAAGCACGGATGAAGACCAATTCTAATTCTGATGTTCATGGGTCGATTACGAATTAAGTATATGAGACAAAAGATGTTTACAGTGTAGTATGGATATTATATCCCAAAGCGAGCTGAATTCGACGTTCTGGTGATTTCGTCGATTGCATTGCTCGCGCTATATCGGGGTAGTACGTGTGCGATCGGAGTGCACAAGCAGTTTCACTGTTAGGGCGGATGCCAAGTCGCTGTCGTGAGAAGTTTTATTGACAATGGAAATCCGAAAATTAAGTTACATAAAAAGCAAACAAGCATCAATATTATTTACCCGAGACCGTTAATACCACTTCAGATGCAAAATCAATTGCCTATACAACAAAAAATAGCAAGCGAAACTTCAGTAAGATCAGTCGTCTGCTGGTGACAGGTAATATATAAACCGGAAGCCACGTGATCACAACACTCCTTCACAGTGCGGAGCAAAACGTATGGCTCATCGTCGAAAACTGAAACAAAATACCCGGATGTGGAGAGCGGCAACAGTTTCGCCGATACGATGTCATCAACGCTATTTTTGTAGGGAACACTTGATATTTTTGCGTGAAATAGATGAATATATCATTTATCACTCAAGGTTAGTAAAATAAAAACTTTAAATGATACTAAGGTAAGAAATACGTTTTGTCTTACATCGTCGAAAACCCCTGACACAGGGATATTAAATGAGCTTCACAGTATTTATCCCGAATGAAATATATTTACCCAGGAAACAAAAGGTTATTTCACGGCGGGGGACACCAGAAATGGGCTTCACACATTGTATCCATGTGGGGAATCGAACCCGGGTCTTCAGCGTGACGAAAGGACGCTTTTAACCATTAGGCTTTCCCCACACCCACCGCAACACCCCACAACCCACACCAAACACCCCAACACCCACACCAAACACCCCACAACCTACACCCAACACCCCACACCAAACACCCCAACACCCACACCAAACACCCCACACCAAACACCCCACAACCCACACCAAACACCCCACACCCCAACACCCACACCAAACACCCCACAACCCACACCAAACACCCGAACAACCCACACCAAACACCAAACAACCCACACCAAACACCAAACAACCCACACCCTTCTAGAAGCTCGTTTAACAATCCTAACAAACAATCTGAAAAGCTTTGAACGTGAGACTTTGGGTATAATATTCTCGATTATCCCCTTTGATCGTTGCACTGGCAATGTTATTCGTGTAATTGATTTTGTGAGTTGTTGAATGAATGACGTGCAAGTTAAAACATATCTACATCATTCACATCATTCACATCCGGATATGAGGAACTAATACTATCACTTTTTGTATCATTACAAGCAACATTTGCTGTCTTGATGACAATCGTTAAACTATCTATTTACCATTTGCACCGTACGTTCAATTGGATAGTTCACCGGTGTCTGGATACGTCCCTAATATTGACTCTAAAAGTAAAAAAACACCAGCATTTTAGTCTCTGAAATTAATTTGTTCTGTCAAACTGTCCTTTGACAATTAATAGTTGTTTACACGTGCTGTTTTAACCTTGAAGATCAGAGTTAGAATTGGTCTTCACGTACCCTTGGTTGTCGTGAGAGGCTACACTTTTTATAGAGGTGTTACAACAAACATGCTGTTGAAGTACTCACATTTTATCACATTGATATAATTATATTATAATGGTTTAAAATGATTAATTAAAAACACAGAAAAAGAAACGGAAACCAGAGAATATTACCAACACAAGAGACCTTCCCATCCGTTCCTTGACGTACCCCTCCTTTCCTTGACGTCCCAATCCGTTCTTTGGCATCCCAATTCGTTCCTTGACGTTCCCCTCCCTTCCTTGACGTACCATCCCTTCCTTGACGTCCCAATCCCTTCCTTGATGTCCCGATCCGTTCAATGACGTTCCCCTCTCTTCCTTGACGTTACCCTCCCTTCCTTGACGTCCCCATCCGTTCCACGGGGGCCCCCTCCCTTCCTTGATATCCCTATCCGTTCCTTGACATCCCTATCCGTTCCTTCACGTTCCCCTCCCTTCCTTGACGTCCCAATCCGTTCCTTGAAGCCCCAACCCCTTCCTTGACGTCCCCCACCCCTTCCTTGACGTTCCCCATCCCTTCCTTGACGTTCCCCTTCCTTCCTTGACGTTCCCATCCCTCTTTGACGTTCCCCTCTCTTCCTTGACGTTCCCCATCGTTCTTTGACGTCCCCATCCGTTCCTTGAGGATCACACACTGCAAAACGTGATGACTCTCATACTAAGAGATCAAGACAATTAAGCGCTGAGGTAGCTCGTTCGTAACCCAGACAGTCCGAGTTCAAATCCATAAATGTGGCAACTTATGACTTCTATCATTAATAGTCCCTGTTGTGGCACTGTGGAAATATTTTCGTCGTTAAATACGTTATTCTTCCAGTACTGATTGAACCTTAAACATTGTCTCCACCATCAACAAATCGAATAGTAACGTGTTCTATGTTTCTTCACCTAAACAGTCCACAGTATTGCGACTATGCTACGTTAAAAAAACTAAGCCCATTACAACATGTCTGTGTTTGGTTTGAGCCAACCCCATGTAGTTGTGTTACAGAAAGGCTGCTGGCTAGAAATGATTATGTTAGATATCACGGAGGATGATGCAAGCCAGTTTACTCTTCAGTGAGTATTGTCCGAATGGATTGTTTTCCAAAACACAAACCTGATACCGTTACAAATTTAATTGCTCACATGAAAAAGATATTTTCCAGAATGAAATGGATTTTGTCACTGGGTTGAGGATATCGTTTCAATAGCGAGCAAAGTGATGAAAAATTAAGCTTCTTGCCGCTGGTTAACTCGCTTTGTCACCAGTCGTTTCTACGAACTCTGGCAAATTTATTGACGAATCCTTTCGTCAAAAGAAAAAAGATTAGCCTCGAACGATTACCGGTTTTAATCTTAAATTGTCGCCACGCACTGTGAGTCCTTTATCCGCCCCTCACGCTTAAGCGCACGGGCTCAATGCCATGGGCACGATTTGCACGCGCTTTTCTGTGCCTCATAGCTCCCAAATGTGCGCGTGCACCAAAACAGCAATGACACTGGTGCATGGAGCAAAAAAATAAGTTCATCTGCAAAGGTCCCTAAATCTTCCTGGTTAGTGAAATCAGTTTGCCTAGATTGAATGTTCGTTTATTGCCATTTTCTTCGGGACAATCCTTTTCGTCAATTGTCGATCGCAGTCCTTTCAAAGATTCGAATTAACGGAATTTGTGCCGGTCGGGCAGACTCTCTCTCCCTCGCACGCGCGATACCGCGGCCTGCGACGAGTAGCCATCTTGCTGGAAAATTGCGTTATGTAAACGCGGAGTCGAGTACTTGACTTGTCTAAACTGATTACCTCGATCCGGCGGGGCCTGGGTTTCTCGCCGAAATGGAAAAATCGAATTTGTTTGTGCAATTAGACAGAAATTTGAATGAATCAAAAAGGAATATAAATCAAATCAATTGAAGAATGCAAAGCCTAAGGTCGTTATGGCGGATTATTCGAAACTCGGGCACCTGGTATCCAAACCAATGATGGCGAAATCGGCGCTCCGACTCAACCTAATTGTAACACGGGGAAACGCTGCGCTATAATTTCCTGCGATGACTTT